AAGATGTAAGATACTATCTACAAAATAGCAAGGCAAAGGAAAGCCAACATTTTTCCCATAAACCTCAAAGACAGACAGTTTGTAAGGGAGAAAGGACTATTTACTTTCAGTGCTGCTTGCATTCCTGAGCCCTCTGCTGAAGACTGCCACAAAACTTACACATTCTGGCTTGCATCAGTAGGAACTTCCAAACCAATGTCTTGTTTCTGAGGACAGTCATTAGCAGATATTGGGTGGGAGTCTAAGGACAGAGAAGGCACAAAATCATGCTTCCCTCTCATGTGCCTTCCTCACTTCTGGCAGTTTTGGTGACCATCAGTACAGAAGGTTACATGTACATCATCATGTTTAATAGGTTGTCAGGCACCTTCTTCCCATGAATCTCTTGAACTGCTTTTTAACCCAGTTATATTTTTGTACACTGACAAACTCAGGCTTCAGTTTAGAAATGAATGCTTCATGTGGGTTATTTGAAACAGCTTTCCTGGGTATCCTCTGGCTCAAGGCTTGTGAGAAGCAGCTATGGGAGAAAAGAGGAGAAGGACAGGACTGAAGGAGATAAAATCACTGTTTCAAGAGCCCTCACATCACAGAAGCCTTCTGATTATATTGGAAAACTTGTCCACTCTTCTCTCTGCGTACTTACCTGGATACCAAATCTTATACAACACTATCTTTGTTATTTAAATTCTGTGTAAAACAAGGCTTAAATTGTTTGCCCTGGCTCCCAGCTGGAGCCTCTATTGCAATACATCATTCCCAAAACAAGACCCTTATCTGTCAGGAAGGGACTACTTAGCATGTCTGAAACACAGATGTTGCAAGTAAAGGAAAATCCACAATAAACCAGAGATTTTGGGGGAAAGATACTTGTAGGAGCTTGGGGCTACTCACTAAGCATAGCAAAGAGGCTACGTGTCTCCTGATTTATTCCAGTGGAGCCTGCTTAACCTGGTGTCCCTGGCAGAGTGAAAGGTTTAATGTCTTCTCATGTACCAAGCCAGAAATATTCACAGGGCGTATCATTAACAGATACCATCAACCCCTAAGCAGATGGTCTCTTAGGAGAGCAGAACCTTAACAATGAAAAAAAATAAAGCATTTCAGCTTTGTTCTCCTGTTAATCTGTCTGAGGAAGGTCAGTGCTCTCTTTTAGTCCCATTCTTCTCAATAACAGAAGCCTAGCAAAGATGACAGAAATGGCAAAGTGGCATGCAGATAGGTTGGTCACACTAGTTCACACCGTAAAGAAATGTTAAAGGCCTTTTCTTTCAGCAATTTATACACTGAAAGGCCACTTCAGTGGCTGGTATATTTCTACTGAAGTCCAGAGTGCCTTCAAATAAAAGAATACTTCACCTTTAAGGATATGACTGATCCCAAGATCAAAATTAAGATCAAGATTGAAATACTTTAAGCAACGACAGCAACATACATATTCAGAATCATGTCCCAAATGCAATAATTATTTATCTATAAAGATCTAGCAACACATCTTTTTTTCCAGGAATGCCAGGAGTTGAGGGAAGATGCCCAAGTATTTTAGTGTCATCGGCTCACCACCTCTCTTCACCTGCCAGGTGCTGCACCATATTTAGCAACTGCTGTCACCACCACAACGTTTGTCATTGGCTTGCCATTTTTGTGTATTTCTGAATACCCTACAGTTGCTTCTCTGAAAGAGTGAGTCACCTAAAACATGTTAAATCTGGATGCCAGTCTCAGTTTGGCTCCAAGCAAAATCAACACATATGATGAACCATCAACACTTGTGAGGAGGAGTTCAAGGGACATGCAGTTATACCCTGAAGTGCTGCAGGGAGGCAGAGTGCAAAACAGCAGCACACTTTGCACAGCATGGGAGCTCAATAACCTTCCTGTAATCTCTTAGGGGCTAAGACAGAGGACCAGTTGGCACCATGTCATGAACTATAATTCAACTGTGGTGGGGCACCCGTCCCTTAAAATAGGCTTGAGGGAAAAGAAATCCCCCCCTACTCACAAGCAAGCTTCATGTGATCAACACCCAAGCTGTTCAGATATCCCCACTCTGCTGTATCCAGCCATGTATTCTTGGTTATATCACACCAGAATCAAAACCAAATTTAAGATCAAATCTCATCAAGCTAGGACAAAACATTAAACAGATATGAATGTTATATACCTAAAATACTATATACAAACATACATATGTATATCTAAAATTACATGATTGCGCATATGAAGCTTCTCTCTAAGGAAGGTACCTTCAGATCAATAAGCATATTGACAACTATTTAAATTCATTGATTTTCAATCTTTTTACCATTGAGGAAATACAAAATTTACTTTAGCGGGATATAAATTGCTCCCATTTGGGATCCTCTTAAACTCCAACAGCAAATAAATTGATGCGAAGCTGCAGAAATTCTTTCAAACAGCAACTGCAAATAAACAGTAGCAAAACATTTAGTTACACATATATGAGAATGAAACAGCAAAGTTATTTGCTGACATTTCCTCAAACGATTGCTATAAATGATGCAATTTTAAGATGGCCAGTGATTATCTTCTATTGATTGCTGTTCAGTGGCTTCATCTACAATTATATTCTAGGAGGTTATTTGAATTCGCCCAAGGAGGTCTCAGAGGTATATTTATTTGGTTTTAAAATTTTGTCTCCGGTAGAAAATCTGATTTGCATAGTAGATGCTCTTTCAAGTGGTAAAGGTCAATGCCCTATTATTATTTTACATATTCCAGGTTTATAACTGAATCGAGTGATAGAATATTTTGTCTGTTCCAAACTATTCCAATTCTTTGCTTCATAAACTTCTGAAAATAATAAAATCTTGTTTTGATGGAGCATCTTCTAAACATGACCATGAGGTAAAATACCGAAAGCAAACCTTCAGGCTGTGTGTGTAAGCAGCAGGGGAGTGGTCACAAAGTAAACCCAAGAAGTCTCAGGAGTAAATCAATCAGTGGCAACACATAATTTTTTTATTTTTTTTTTTTTTTATATTTTGAAGGAAATTTTATAATACTTACAACCTACACTTAAGGCTACCCACCGGACACCACACCTTTCTTTCTCACAGAATTCATCTGCTCCCCTTCCTACCTACAATTCTGATTTCAAGATTATTTTGCCATCTCGACCTTTTGCTATTGTACAGGAATGAGGCTAGGTAGCCACAGATAAGATCAACTACATTTATGCATTTAAATCTGCATTTTGCAGGAGCTTCTGCTCTTTTGGCATTGTTATTGTTCCTCAGCTCCTATCCTTCCTAAAATTTTCCTTCGAGTCTTCCTGCTGCCGGGCACTGGTCAGACCTGGCTCACATCCCCTTCGGGTCAGTAAGTGGTCAGGAGACACGGGTTGTCTCTTATGAGATTTTTCCTGCAGAATTGGGGAATATAATTCAACAAAGTCCTGAAAAACTAGAAGTGTCAAACTTGGGAAGTTGAGTGGTGATTCCATTACTTAAAGGAGGCAGTGCTGAGAGTTTCACTTTATTGAATTTACTTATCTGTAGCCCTGCAGTCCTTAAGAGCTTGGAAAAGCTGTGAATTATCGTTGATGCAGAGGCTGTTCTCTGCCAGAATTTGAATTACTCAAGGTGATTTCAAGGCACGTGCACACACAGATTCTCACTCACAGTGAAGGAAATAATGCAAGTGACCAAAGAAGGGCCTTAAAAGTACCAGTGAAATGACGTTTCAGAGCAAACAGGAACTGTGTACGTTTCATCAACTAGCTCTTTCTAAAGCCAGAGGAACACCATATATAAACATATATATATGTTTACCATATATAAAAACAATATTACATTGTTTATAATCATAAATATAATTCTGCGCAGACATTAATATGGTCCTCATTGAATGATGAAAAAATTATAATTTGGAGATAACATGTTAGAAGAAAATGCCAAAATTTATCACACAAAATATTCTGAATAGGGAATGTGACCAGTTATAGTTTCAAAGCAAGCATTTCCTGTACGTTTTACAAGCACCTTGAATTATGTAAGCCACCAATTGCTGGTATAACTTTTCATAACATGTCATCCACTAAAATAAACAATTATCGTATCAGGGGGTTGGAACTAGATGATCTTAAGGTCCTTTCCAACCCTAACCATTCTGTGATTCTTGAATTCTATGGACAGCTTTTTTTTTCTTTTTGTTTTTATTTTATCTGTCTTCTCACTGATGCAAAATATTGCCAAGCATACAGCTTGGTTAACACCTCTTCTCTGACACCTAGAAACCATGCATTTCCCATTCTCAGTACCTCAGGTCACACTGTGAGAAGTTGTAAATCTCATCATAAACCTCAATGATCACAACGGTCATACAACCATAGTAATACAAAAGCTGAAAATACACTTTCTGCTGCTACTAGTGCTGACTGTAGTATTTCTTAACCTGGGAAACCCCATGCACTTTCAATGGATCTGATGCTGCAGGTACTGCAGACTCTTGAAGACCCACTGCCACTGACCACCTCCCTGCAGGGCTGTGGGTCCCTGCCTTCACAGGCCACTCCTTCTGGTAGTGTCTACAACCAAGCATACATGCCACATTGCAGTGCCATGCAGCTACATTCAGGCTACCTTGGAAGCTGAAGCTGGCACTGCATCATCAGCACAGAGCCCACCTCAGGTTAATTTAATCAATGTCATTTTACTGCTTTTGATAGCTCAGTAACTCCATTTCAATCCAGTCTGGTTACCCTTAAGCACCACCCATTTGTGCCATCGCTCTGTGAAGGCACAAACTGTGACAAAACAAACACACCCCTAGAAACATCTCAACAGAGAGGTGCACTGCTTAGCAGATATAATGGGCAAGTTCCTCTTTTGTTTTTTCTCAATGGCCAGATCACCAGAAATGCAAGGCAGAACCTGACAGAGAAATCTTGGAGTCTTTAATGACCACCCTAGAAAGAGAAGTCCTGCCTTGGAGATGTCCTGACAGGTGGTGGCTCTCAGATGGATTTATTCAGACAAAACAATGATAAACTGATACTGAGATCCCTAAGCAACATAGCAGTTTAAATGGAGGAACATCAGGCTGAAACCAAAACCCAGTGGAAGTAAATATGTAAGGAATGAAAAAGCAACCACTGGACACATGGAGGAAGAGCACTGGCCTTAGTTTCTATATTGCTTGCATTTGTGCTGAAAAACAACTCCCAGCATTTTCAAGAAAAGATGACATGGGCACCATCCAGGCCCAGCAGCAGAAGCCTGGTGGGTCAGAAGCACCATAAGTTTCCTGAATGTGTATCAGCTAGGACAACTGCAGTCTTTGCCCGTTTGGAGACACCTGCCATCACCTCTCCCCCAAGCTGAACCCAGGAAACATGGGCACCGGGGACTCCACAGGGTGCTCCCTTCCAGTATCTGAAGGGAGCCTACAAGGATGCTGGAGAGGAACTCTTCATTAGGGACTGTAGTGATAGGACAAGGGATAATGGGTTTAAACAGGGGAAGCTCAGGTTAGATATAAGGAAGAAGTTCTTTACTGTTATGGTGGTGAGGCACTGGAAGGGGTTGCCCAAGGAAGTTGTGAATGCTCCATCCCTGGCGGTGTTCAAGGCCAGGTTGGACAGAGTCTTGGGTGACATGGTTTAGTGTGAGGTGTCCCTGCCCATGGCAGGGAGGTTGGAACTGGATGATCTTAAGGTCCTTTCCAACCCTAACTATTCTATGATTCTATGCTGGGGGCACAGGGCTGTTAGCCAGTGCCTGTCCCAGCCAGGAGCAGAGCAGCAGGGGGCATCAGGGCAGCCCCAGCCCTCAGCATCTGGCACCTCTCTGAGGACAGGGACAGGAATGGGCTGAGGCTGGGCTGGGATGTGAACCCACGTGGGCCTGGCTTGTCAGGGCTGATGACCAGGCAGGGCTGTGGGTAGCTGTAGACCAGCTCCCCGCCACGTCCCTCCCCACATTCCCACGACAGGAGCTGATGGCCCCGGGGGCTGATGTGGGGTCCTGAGATATAGGCAGGGGAGGGGGAGCCTCACCAAGGTTGGGCAGGGACAGGCAAACATGGTGGTGCCCCCAGGGCCCAACAGCATAGGAGATTATTTATGTAGCTTTAGGCCAAGGATTAGATAGTAAAGTATAATCTGGCTTTCTCCACAGTTGAGTTTTTGCTGCTTTGATGCTCACTGACGCAAAACTGTATCTCCAAATAAGATTTGTTGGTGAACATTTGGGCTGTTTTGAAGAGTACTGGTATTGAGTAAGGCTGATTTAATGTTTTCTCTTTTGCACAGACTTCCTTTCTAACTACTGTGCTGATGACAGGGCCAGCTTCAGTCATGAGGAAAATGCTTCTAGTGTGTAATGTATCTGAGGCAGTAGATTGCTACAGCCAGCAAAACACGCGGCCTTACGGGCTGGCTGTTGAATATGAGGAAGTCATGCATAGGAAAGCAGCTATTGCTGGGGATGGGTGGGCAGAAAGGCAGAGGAGACTTTAAGAGCAGCACCCCTAAGACCTCCAGGAATATCCTTTTCCTGGCACCACAGCAGCAAAGCCCAGCTCCCTAACCAAAATCATAGAACCAGAGAATCACAGAATGGTTTGTTTGGAAGGGACTTTTCAAGCTCATCTAGTCCAACTCCTTCCCACAGGCAGGGACATCTTTCACTAGACCAGGTTGCTCAAAGCCCCATCCAACCTGGCCTTGAACACTGCCAGGGATGGGTCCCTATGTTGTCCCAACATCAGGGTTCTTCACCTGGTGTGCAGAGAGACAATTAACACACAATCAAAATATTTATTTCATGTCTGTGCAGAGATGGGTGCTAGGTGGTGACTCCACAAAGCTAGCATACCTTCAGTCTGCCAGCTAGCCACTTTATCCATTTCAAATAGTGAAAATCAGTGGTTTTGTACATGTAACAGTCTGTATCTATAGTCATTGGCTCTCACAGTCTCTTGCTTCTGTTTAAAGACACAGTATGTGTATTTCACTATGCATGTTTGATGAGTTTAGGGTCTTTTATCTCAGGGGGTGGGACTTTTAGCATTATAACGAACCATGTTCCTTTAGGGACAATTATCTTCTGATCTGTTGAGCTTTTCAAAATTACTTCTGTATTTTGGACCCTAATCTGTCTGAATTGTTACTCTTCTGATCCAGAGGGTCTCTTTTATCCATCTTGTACCTCTCCTCAAGCTCTGTGAGCTTGAAAGAAAACACTGTTTGTCCTTCCTACATGCAAGTCTAAACTCAAGATTTTCAAGCTTTCACGCACATAGTCCTTTACAAAATCCAAACTTCATTGCCAGGTAACACTCATCTGTAGTACATGCTCTCTGGCACAGGTTCAGTTCTGGCTCTGGCTTGGCTTCTTCAGGTTTGCAAAGTTTACTTTTTAACTTGGTTTCCCTGTGAAGTGTGAAGGTATTGAATTGCTGCAGACTTAAGCTCTGCTGCAGGTTATTACAATGTCCACCTTAGTAGCATGGTGCAACAGCAGTGGATCTACAGAGAGAGCCATGTTGGCTCTATCACAAGATGGAAATTTATCCAACTGCCAGATTCTGAAGAAACCAGTGAGTTTCCTGTCTTAGAAGGAGTAAGAAGAAAATAGACAGGAAAAAATCAAAAAAACACTGATGTCTTAAGGAACTTTAATGCTAATTTTGCATTTATTTTTTCAGCCAGACTTCTACTGGACCTTGAACATAGCCCCTATCGTTGTGTCCTTTGAAATCATTTTAGTAAGTATGAAATCTAATGCAGTAATAGTGTCAAGCAAGGGAGTCAGTGTTTCCCTATGTGCAGTAAGAGAATTTACAAGCAACACAAAAGGGGGAAGATATTCTCCCATTCCTCAATGAAATTTGTATTCTGCTGTTAAAAGTTCAGTCTATCCAACTTCTTTTGAAAACAGCTGAACTGCATTCAATTCACTCTTCCTCTCACCCCCCTAGTAACTAATATGTTTTTCTTGTAAATCTAATGGAAATTCAGAGCATTCAGGGTTGGGTTGTTGGTTTGTTGGTTTGGTTTGGGGTTTTGTTTGGGTTTTATTGGGTGGGGTGTTTTTTTTTCCTAAAATATACTATATTTTATATATATATATATATATATATAAAAGCTATAAAGCTGTGGGCATATTTTGCAGATAGGTGTGTCACCTTGTAATTCTGCCAAACACTAGAGCTGTAGAATAATGTAGATTGATACCAGTACAGAATTCAGAAGTGGAGGAGGACAGCACTTTTTCAGTTTGGTTTGGTTTGTTACTGTGGTGGTTTAAGGCTGAACCCAGGACAGTTACACTCATTTTATATTAGAACTACCGAATTAGAAACAAAACAAATGACTATTTTAAGAACCTTTTCTGATTGCTAAAGGTCTGAGTGAATTTTGCATAAACAAAAAAGTTTTCCACACTCAAGTGCCCTACTTTTCATATACTTTCGCCCAACTATAACATAGCAGTGCACCACAATAGTTTTTCACAGACTTCTCTCCTTCTGAGGTTCCCAGGAAGGTTCCCAGACACACAGTTTCACAGCAATGTGCAACTACCTGCACAAAATTAGGCAGCTGTTAATTAATGTGGGCTAGCCCTTATCCCAGAAGGTTACTGGGAATTTCCTAAAAGGCTGAACTCAAGGTGAAGTAGCACAAAAAAAGCATCTGAGATTAACTGAAGTCATCAAGAAACAAATCTATTGATTGAGACTACTCGTGCTGTGACAGAAACAAACTTGGTTTCCTGCAGAAACAGTTTACCATTGTACAGCCAGAAAATACATGCCTGTGTTGACAATTTGACTTATTTCTCTTCAATGTAATCTGCTGCGCATTATAATCCGTAAATTTAAGTGACCTGAATCAAAGCAGCCCTAAATGCAAACGTACTCCTAAACACTTTTATCAGTGAGGATGGGAGATTAGAGGTTAAGGTAGTCCCAGCAATGTTAGTTCTTACTCAGATACTCAGAGCAAATTTTTAATCCACTCCCATGTTTTCTAGAGATAAGTCATCTCATGTAAGAGCTTTTCCCTGGATTCTTATGCACATTAAGTGCACAAGTAACTACTTGTTACCCATCCAAAATTTTGCATGGCAGTGCACAATCTCCAGAGTCTACAGCCTAATTGAAAAGACACAGAAAGCTATTTTCAGAGGGATACCTCAAAAATACATTCAGAACTAATCAGAACTTGTGTCTTTGCCAAGTCCTTGGCCAAAAAGAGATAATATCTGTATATTTTACATAGATTCGAAAAAGAAAGAGAGTTCTAGTGTGAAAAGAAAGTCTGCTGAGAGAAAGGAACAGGTTTTTCTCAGCAGGCTTGAATATGAACAAACTCTCAGGCAAGCTTTGAACCTTTTCTCATAATTGGTGTTGATATAAGAAGAGTGACTGTGTCTAAGAAAAGAAGATGACACCCCTATCCCTGTGGCATGCACTTCAAACCTGATTCAGTGAAATTTTTCCCTTGGTACAATTGTTTCTACTTTAGTGAAATTCCAGCATAACGAGCATTTTATATGCATTGCAGAGGGACTGGAATACTAATTTCTAAATGGAAAATGGTAAACATCTTCCTATATTTAGGCTTGTGACTTTGAAAGGGAAGGCAGGCATGGCTGGAACTCCAAATAGAAATATCTCTGCAGAGATGAAGATATTCAATATCCAGTAAAGATACAAGTTCTTTACAACAAATAAATCTCAAATGATGTTTTCTGGTACTGGAACATTCATTCCTAGAATGAACCTTTAAAATTAATCACTTTTGATTTTGCTTTGGGATATTAAAAAAATTATTACATCACAAAAGGCAGAACATACTAGAATAATAAACTCCTTAATCTAATGATATGATTATATACAAATATTTGCCTATCACAACAGCGTGCTTGAACCATTGCATCTTTAAAATTATATTGACTATCCAAATATGTCAAGCTTCAAGTGAGATTAATATAAGTAAGTTTCTCATTAACTTCTCTTTCTTCCTTGGGAAAATGAGCCATGAACAAATTTCAGAAGGTATGAGGGCTAATTCGGATAAGCAGCCAAAGTGTTGGCGTTTGCCTGATTTATCTTTTGAGTCTGAACCATAAGACTCATAAGCCCAAAACTTTGCATAATTTAGCAAGGTTTTCCTAATTTTGTGCAGAAATGAGAGAGAGTTCATGACATCCTCATGCCCCAGGCAGAGGATGTATATAGGCCTTGCAAGACTGGATTTTTTTGTGTAAGGTGTTTTTACCAGCAGAAAAAGACACTTTCCTACCATGCCAGTGTTCAGGACAGAAACCCACCTTTTTAATGAGATTTTTTTTAATTCTTTTTGGAGTGGTGGTAACATGAATGACATGCCTTCTGCCTGCCTATTTTGAAAGCTGTGATCTAGAGATGAACAAGGAAAGTAAACTGCTAACCTCATCTTTTGAATGTTTTACTATGACTGTTCCCCATTGTCCCCTAAAGTTAACCTCACACACCTCAGGTTGTTTATAGACACGTTTCTCTTCCTTCTCTCAGCCAACATGGAGATGCTGACCATGAGACATATTGGTAATTTTATCATAAACATGCTGTCCTTCCTGTCATCTAGTTCAAGGGGTGACAAGGGTGGTAGGAAGGCAACAGGGGGAACTGATCCCTTCAGCCTGGGGAGGGAAATTACATCCTTTAGGTCTAGTCCTGAGAAAGGGAAGAGGAGTGACCCTCCTTCTAGGACATGTGCTAGAGGAAGGGATGAGAACAACAGCAGGAAGCAATGTAAGCAAAATGATGAAGGAAAAATTCACAAGACACAGGACTGCAGCACAGCTTTTGGGAAAATACTGGGGGCAACTGACAATACACGGTTCAGGAGATAGCTGTAGTTTCACCAGACTCATCCGAAACACCTTCAGTGTTCCTGCAATAATGATAACTTCTCACTGTGTTTGTTCCCAGAGACAGTCAAGATTATTTCCATTATAATGTGCAAGTATGTTCCTTGTAGACAACAAACAGCTCTGAACTGAAATATACTACTCAAGTCATCACTGACAATTTAAAGACACCCAAGTTTCAAGTTTTATCAGCTGCAGTAAAAAGAAATCTGTCCATCTGAGTCTGTACGGGTTTACGTAAGTGAGAAAATAGACTGGAAACTTACAGACTATTAGAGAAAATAGGACTGTTTTCAAGATACTACTTCTTCCTCAAAAGGAGCTCTTCACCATACAGCCACATCCACTGGTGAAGGACAGCTGGGAAGCAGTTACTTCTGGTTGATTTACCCAAACTTCATATAAATGGTAACAGTTTCTCACTGAAGGAATTTTACATATATCATTCAGTTCTGCACTGGAAGCACTCTGCACCCTCACCTCTGTTCTAGACCTTGGTAACTTTTCTGAACATGATATAAAATGTATGTGACAGGAAAACACTTCTTTTATGTAAAACCAACAGCAGTCTATCCACTTCATGCTCACAGGTACAGTATTATTGGCACTTAAATGACAGAGTAGATAAAATAATCTTGTAAAATTCAGTCTTAAATGAATAATAATTATTCCAAAGGCACTATGTGGGCACTAAGCAAAACAAGGATAATATCCTTGCTTCTTCATGCATATATTGAAATTCCAGTATCTTTCCTTAAAATAAATAACCAATCAACCAGAGAACAAGTCTGCTGAAAGGTACACACAAAAATTCCTTTGTTTTTCTATCAGGTTGACAGCATGTCTTAAATGAATAAAGTTATCTTCTTTTGAGAGGTACTTAGTGGTTTCCTACAAGGTTATACATATAAGCTAGCACATGAATGAACACACACTTTCCATCTTCATTATCAATTACATAGAAAGACAGATTGAGCACATGCCCTTCCTTAAGAAAAGATTATATTTACATGAATTTATTCATGGCTTAAGCCATTTCTCTCACACGCCTAAACAGCCCTGTTGCCTCTTCATTTCTTTCACAAATTAGACTGTCACTGGGTCATGCCTTGCTATTTGGCTATTTTTAGCCTTCTCATTACACCTGGAAATGTTTGCAGTTAAAGTGCTGCCATCTGGAGTTGTTAATGGCATGCTGGTGGAAGTGTAATCACTGCATGACTTTGTTCTGCACTTCCCCAGGGTGCAGAAAAATGTGATACACATCTAATTTATGTTAGTTTCTGCTTACAGCTGCTCATCATCAAATGTGATAATATATACAACTTGGTGCTCTCCCCCAATATCTCTCCATCAAAAATTACCTTTGATGTACCAGCAGTCGCTACCATCACCAAAATACACCTATAGACCTAAAAATAGCTTTAGGTGAAACCTATTGTTTAATTTTTCTAGGAACGGCAAATTTAGGAGCATTTGAAATCAAAATGCAATTATATTCACCTTAGTAGGAGGTTCTTGTCTAGTTTATATTGCCACTAAGAATGATTTTGGGATTCCAATTTCTGCTTTTCACTCATTTTAAGCTGCAGAAAGGAGATTTTTAGCAGCGTTATCTGATTTGTCTCTGTTATGTGATAGCAGAGGATGAAGTATTATTGTCTTAGCCATAGCAATTTATAAACCAGGATCCTAAATTCTGCCTTCCAGCCAGGGGCTCCTTAGGCTTTGCAAAGGAAACTGTAATGTAGGTGCTTTGCTGGTTGTGGTTGGTTTGTTGTTTTGGGTTTTTTTAACCACAATATTTTACCAGGGAACAACCAAAATTATGTTCATATTCAAAACAAATGTAGTCTTTTTTCCATTTAAACAAGTTATTCTGACTCAAATGAGACTTGGGCTCTTGGCTGGAAGAAAGTCAAGAATTACAGAAGAGGCTATAGGAAGAGCTTCAATATACATGTAACTACATAATTCATAGGGAAAACAACACATGCAGCATGTCATCTGTTGCACAGAAGACCTATATTTTAGGGTACTGAGCAACATTTTCAGTCACAGCTCTCATCATTGCTCAGATGTATTCCATTTAAGTTTGTCACTTCAGGGAAAAATCATCAGTTTTCACACGGAGGCTTGATTTCATTCCACAGACTGTACTCGGCTGAAAAATGTATGCCTAGCTTGGGACCCATTACCACAAGTTCTCTTCTTGGCCATTAAGCACATCAAAATGCTAGTCAAGCCATAGACACTCACTAGCTCTCAATTACTGGGAAGGTCTGGAGTACTTTTCTCTCCTGTCAGAGTCTTCTAAAGAGCACAGAGACAGTACAATGTGCTTGAGTGTAAATAAATATCTGGAACAGAGAAAGCTGGTGTTTTATAGAATTGAAGGAGCCTTCACATCCCAGATAGGGAGCAGGAGGTTATCTGAGCTGCAGCACTCAGACAGATCCTCCTCATCTTCACCCACATTAGTGTGGCCAAGGAGGGGGTACTACCCAGCTCTCCTGGCACAACAGTATCCCTGATGAGGCTCAGTCCTTCCTTTCAATGCCACAGAGGCATCCAGCTCTCAAAAAAGTTCACTCTCTACATGTAGGAGGTAATGCCGCCTGTGGATTCACCAGTTCTCTCTTTCTCCATCCTCACACGAAATACATTCAAATTTGAAAAGCACTGGTGGAAAGTGAAGAGAAATCCCAGTGCAGTGAAGAGAAACCTTCAGACTCAGTGGGAACCATAAAAAGCTAGGCTGAAATTAGACAGTTTTGGAAATCACAGCATGTTCTTAGGCAGCCAAGCTGGAGAATTTTGGCTCCTTCCTTTTATACTAAATGTACACATTTGAGAAAACAACAGTTTGAGAATTCTATTTCATACATAACCTATACACTTGAGTCACGCCTTCTTCAAAAATTCAGATGATATTTAAAACTCTAAATATCAACCAATCCGAGGAACTGATAGTGGACACGTATGGATGACACGGTACGTAATTTTCCCTAGATGCTATGTTGATGCAGTTGCAAATTTCCATATTGCAATAGAGTAAAAAGCTTACCATTTGTCACAGTCACACAAGAAGAATTTGGAAAGCTGTCTTTGCAGTATTTTTCCTAAACAAACTTTCAGCATTTCTCACTCCCTCTCCCCTGTTAAAAAGCTTGATGATAGTTCAAAAGAGGTACTCCCCAAGCTATATTTTTCATATTTGCTCGAATGCTTTAATGATTTGTTTCTAGCTCTATCATCCTTACATATTCTTTTTTGGTCTCAAATCACATCCTATATACAAGCAAAAGAGAACAAACTTGTAGAAACAGAAAAAAAAAAGACAATTACTTTTCTGGAGCAGAGATTGCTTCATTTACAACTTTTGGCAGGAAAAAGGCTACTCTTCAGACACGATTGGCCATTGAGATGAAGGTGTTGCAAATGTAAGTGGAAATGCAAGTATTAATATAGTACCAAGAGATGAACAATGGAACTGATATTCATATTAGAGGATATACAAATGAGGAGAATGCTGGGCATGTAGAGAGAGCCTCTCTATTTGGTTCAGTATTTACATATCCTAGGGAAAAGAAAAAAAACAACAAAACAGAATAGAAACTGGGTGGCTGCTCCTGTTACTAGAGCAGCAAGTTCTAAAGTAATGGAAAGAAATATCTTTGGCTGAACTTCTTTTTCCATATTTGCAAAACATAAACCTGTAATTCTACTATCTTTGGACCACAGCTGCTGTGCTTTGCACTCCAAGCTTAGCCAAAAGAAATGAAATGCTTCTTGGAAAAACACAGGTACAGCATCTTAATGGAATATGATAGGATAAGAAGGTTGCATTACAAGACCAGTGGCATTATAACATCAGTATGAAAGATTCTACTTTTTTGGTAGTGTATCCTGAGGTTTGCATTCTTAAAGGTGGGAAACATATTTTCCTTTATGGGCGTATTTTGGGACAGCTGTAACAATTTGTCTTAGGTACACAGTCAGCAGAATTATTCTCCAGTGCAATCATATTGTTCAGATGATCACATGTTCAGTGTGATCACTATGGCTTTATTCAAGGTACTTAAATAGATTTTATATTTTCAATTAAAGTGCAAGAGCGCAGTGTAATACTTCCATTTCCTGTTATTACTGCTTCAAAAAACGGGGAAAAGTTTATGTGCCAGGTGGAACCAATGACCTTGTGAGAACTATTTACTAATATAAGAAGCCATCTGAGGATAGAATATTTATAATAATGGGGAACTTAATTAGATATCTGGCAGTGCTTAAGCAACTAATTTTTTTAAAAAAAGCCAGATCGACGAGGGTCACCTCTCTAATGAAATGAGAAAAGTAGAAGCAATGTTTTCTTTAATGAGTATTCAAAACTAAAGTCTTTAAGAATCATTTAACTTTTTAAAAGACTGTTTTGACAGAGAAAAGGATTTATTTTTAGATTAATTTACATCCAAATTTCAACTATGGTTGAATCCTAAAGGAAGTAAAGGACTGTCTCAGAAAATAGACTGCATAAAAGAAGTTGAAATTGTCAAAAATACATTTGAAGATTGCTCAACAAAAATGAAGGCAGTGGGAACACAACTGCATGTACATTATCAGGTAGTACATCCAGGAGATGAAAATGCTGTGGAACCTTTGGATTACATCAGACTGGAAACAGATGGGCCATTCTTTTCTTTCAGTGATACTATGGAAAAACTAATATATCTAACATATCTCAGGGTACTGAGTGCAGATCCCCCAGCGCTGGCAAGGGTGGCGTATGTGAGAAATGACTGGGGCTGTCCCATGTTGGATATGGCAGGTCCCAGATGGCTCCAATTGACCCACTGCAGGGCACAGATGAGCCCTGCAGATGGTAGCATCTCTGGGAAAAAAATGCTTAAGAAAGGGAAAAATGCTGCATAGCAGTGTGACAAGTCAGGAAAACTAGTGAGGCATACAGCCCTGCAGATACCAATGCCATAGATTGACTGTAACCCCTATTCCCCAGCCTCCTGCACTATTCAGGGTGGGGAGGGAAAAGAGGTGGAGAAATTGAGAACAAAGAAATGAAACTGAGCCTAGAAAAGGGTGGGGAGGGAGTAGGTTGTGTTTTCAGTTTTGTATTTGTTTCTCACTACCCTAATCTATTGTAATTGCCAGTAAATCAAATTAATTTTCCTCAGGTCAAGTCTGTTTTGGCCATGATAGTAACTGGCAAGCAATCTCTGTCTTTAGGTCCACCCATGAGTGTTTTCAGCTCATTTTCTCCCTTTCTCCCGTTGAGCAGACAGAGTGAGTGAGCAGCTGGGTGGGCATCCAGCTACTGGCTAATGCATAACCTACCACGCTAGGAGTGGAGAAACTGAAGTACACCTCTTGCTGGCACCTCCCAGCTTCCATGCTAGGATGTAAGAACCA